AATCATCATCAAAAGACCCTAATTGTCTTCGCGACTATTTAGAACCAAACTCAGATATCGGTCCACGGATCTTTCACTCCGGGGCTGCTCCAATCCTTATTTCGCGATTTCCTACCGGCATCAAGCATTCAGACGAGTGCTCTGGAACCGTTCGCTGCTCATTACCCGTCATCTCTCAAGGTTGGCTTGATCCTTCCGAAACGTCGCCCCGTCCGAAAGTGCCTCTTATCTTGCCTGCCGTGCTCATGCAGCATCTCCGGCTTCTCGCTTCGATAGCGCTCAAGAGCGTTCAACCTTTCCGAAGCAGCGGCGAGAGTGGTCGGGGATGACTCAAAACAGTATGATATGGACATGAACGGACAATCGAACAAAAACCAGTCGCACAAGATGCAAGGATCAACCGAGCCAAATACTCCGATGACGCCTCCCTCAATGTCGCCAGTTACCTCTTTACAGTCGATGTCAGAGAGGCGACCGGGTCAACGTACAATGCCGCGCACTTCATCGATCGACTCTGCGATATCCTCCCTGTCATCTGCTTCACAGACCAACAAATCTTCTTTTGACGCGAATTCTTTGAGTCAGGCTGATATTGGAAATTTGATAAATACTGCGGGATCGGCTGAAGCTGTTATCATACACCTTCTGAAAGAAAAGCATCATGCAGCATCACAAAATTCTCAGCTCTGGAGGCTGGTGGACAAGCAGCGCACGCTCATATTGGGACTAAATAAAGATCTTGAACGCGCTACGAAGGAAAAGGAGCGATACAGAAAGAAGGTCAAGGAATTACAAAGTCTGCCACCGCCGCTACCGAATCCGACCAGCGATTTTATGTCATCACGGCAGGCGATTGATGGAGCCGCCAAGTCCGGCCAAGAAAAATCTAAAGAGGCTCAATGGGAGGATCGGGCAGCCCTAGTAGATGATGCAGGTCTCGATGGTCATCATAGCAACAGTCGCTTGCACGATGTTCTTGCGATTGACAGGCAAACTACTTTCGAGCCGGTCGCACCCCCTGAACAGCATACGGATCGAAGGATTGTAACTCACGGCTATCAATCGTCCTCTGACCTCCGTCAAGGGTTGTCCACAATCAACCAAGACTACCTTGCAAGCACTGGCTCGGTTGGGCATGATCGTAGACCTAGCAGCGACAGGTCACGAAGAATGTCTCAACCATCTCGGAAGCCTCCTCCAGCGCCACTCAACCTCGGACAAGCAGATCATATACCCTCTTACAATGTAGAAGACTCCGATTCCGGCTCCGAGTATGAGGACATTTTGGCAGTGGAGGAGTTCCCGGCAACCCGCGGCAGGAGACGGACGAGAGACGAAGATGACCAGAATCGTGAGGCGCTTTGTGCAGCAGACAAGGATACGACTCATAAAAGCTTGGTTAAGACAGCACACAGCCCGCCGTCAGATCAACAAAAATTACAACCTGTCAATCATGCAGATTCCCTTCACTCGAGCCATCCAGTGGCATGTTCAAGGTTACTTAAAGGTCACCCTACAATCGCCATCCCAAAGAGTCCTGGGCTACCATTAAGCCCAAGGCCTGAAGATCGCCCTCTTGGATCCCCTTTGCCGCGTTTACCTAGAGAGATCCCCCCGTCTCTTGTTTCGTTGCCCAAGTCTTCGGAGAGCACACTCTCTGGATTAGCGCTGTCTCCTCGCGTTGCCAGCCACCCAACTCTATCCGCTGCAGGCCCTTATACAACAGATGATAGCGCTGTCTATGGTTCAGCTCTTGTCGACTCTCTCGGCCAACAATTACCCTCAATCGATGGAGCTGTTAGGACGGATGCATCTCAGTCTCCTTGGAGAGGCAATGGAGTTTACCAAGGCCTTGTCTCAGTAAACTATCCAGACCTCTTGTTACCTCCTAACGCACTGCCCCTGGTTCATGTGAAAGTCTCTTCCTCACGCCTGCGGCCCTCCCGAAACAGTTACCTGGCTCCGAAGCCATTGGAAGAGGAGCCAGTCTTTACTTTAGGTGTGTTTTCTAGGTCTGGCAATAAAGAGCTCTGGCGCGTTGAAAAGGTTATCGCAGCTCTTCCTCTTCTTGATCAACACTTAAGGCAGCTGGGCTTCTGGGGAGGCAGGTTACCAGATAGGTCAATATTTAGCGGACACTCACCTGCCAAAGTCGATGCGAGACGTGCCGCGCTCAACTCCTATTTTGAGACACTTCTCGATACACCAATGGATGAGAAGGCAGCATTGATTATATGTCAATTCCTTACTTCCGATGCCATAGAAGCTCGAGACGACGAGACCAGCCTGCTCAAAGGGAACAATCTAGGTGGCATTGAGATTCGGCGAGGCCCGGACGGCAAACCCCGCAAAGAGGGTTATTTAACAAAGAGGGGAAAGAATTTTGGTGGATGGAAAGCTAGATACTTTGTTCTGCACGGCCCTGAACTTAAGTACTTCGAGTCGCCAGGTGGCCCTCATTTGGGAACCATTAGGATCTACAACGCCCAGATTGGCAAGCAGTCTCAAAATTCAAGTAACCAGCCGGATTCTCCTTCTCGCGTTGAGGAAGACACCGATAATCAGTACCGGCATGCCTTCCTCATACTTGAGCCGAAGAAGAAAGATTCCACGGCTCTTGTTCGTCACGTTTTGTGCGCCGAGAGCGATGAAGAAAGGGATACGTGGGTTGACGCGCTCCTGGAGTATGTTGACGCACGAAGCGAGGACAAAGATGGGACTTATAGCACGCCCTTAAAAGCCCAAACGCCTGTGGGGAAGTCCGCTGTGAACGCGCCTGCAAAGTCTAGGCTGTTTGCCAATACAAGCTACAAAAAGCAAAATAAGAGTCTCGAGAACTCGGATGTGGAAGGTCTCGATATTGTCCAGGGATTTAGTTATGATGATGCTGTTCCTGCCGAACCTCCAGTTATTGGACCCTCCAAGGACAAGCAAGCCCCTAAATCCCCTTTAGTCTTTTCAGGGTCATCGACCGACAGTCAAGATGCCAGTCAGGATTATGGTCAATCCTCGGCGAAGATTATATCTGGTCCTACCAACGGAGCTGTGATACAAGACGCAGGAGCCTGGGGCAACAAGACCGCAACAAGTGTCAAAGAGAAGAAACGGAGCATATGGGGATTTCGCACGAGATCATCGATGGATCTAGCCTCACAGCTTCAGGCAGCCTATGATGGCTCAACATCTCAAATGCTTAATTCATTCGAGAAAAGAGACTCTGTTAGGCCCGTTTTCGGTCTGGCCCTGGCCGAGGCCGTGGAATTTTGCGCGCCTCAGGGCCTTGATGTTGAATTACCAGCTGTGGTTTATCGCTGCATAGAGTATCTGAAAGCGAAGGGTGCAGAGTCGGAAGAGGGGATCTTCCGTCTAAGTGGTTCCAATGTCGTTGTGAAAGCCCTAAAGGAACGTTTCAATAATGAGGGCGACTTGGATTTCCTGGCCGATGATGAGTACCATGATGTGCATGCTGTTGCATCTCTTTTCAAACAATATCTCCGGGAGCTTCCCACGACCGTTCTGACCCGTGAATTACACTTGGATTTCCTGCGAGTCCTCGGTGAGTATTTATGAAACTTATAGCTTCGAGATCGTTGCTCATGATATATATCTAGAACTTCAAGAGAAGAAACAGAAGATCGCAGCGTTCAACGTCCTTGTCCACCGACTACCCAAGTCGAACCTTGCCTTGCTACGTGCATTGGCCCAGTTCCTGATGATCATCGTGAACAATTCCGACATCAACAAGATGACGATCAGAAATGTCGGCATTGTGTTCGCGCCCACCCTCAATATACCAGCGCCAGTCTTCTCCACTTTTCTCACTGACTATGAAGAGATCTTCAATAAGCCACCAGTTTCTGGTGACGAATCACTGGAGTCTCGTGATGACTATGCCACCATTCCAGAAGAGTCCCGTTTCCCTTACCATCAGGTGCTGCCAGATACTGCTATACACAAACATGGTCAGACAGGGAACCAGGAGCAAACGGGTTTTACACAGGACGCTTCTATGCTATCAGAATGTGTGTCTAGCTTCAATCAGCAGAGCTACGAGGTATCCAGTAGTAATGCTAGGTCCGAGCTGTCCCAATCGAGCCAGTCAATCATACCTCTCGCTAACAAGATGTTGTCGCCGAATATTGACAACACGCGGTCTACCAAGTCCAAAAGGAGAGAAAGCTCTCTACTGTTTATGGATATCAACAATCATACCTTTTCACCTCCAGTGCAAGATGACCAATTCTGATAATCGAAACCTGGTATTACCGAGCTTGGGATCAGCCTCGCGGCGAGACAGGCTCTGCATGCTGCCCATTTCCACTGCCTATTCTACCCCACTCACCCAGTCCGTGACTGGTCACTGTCTATATACTCTTCGGTATCTTTCTCATGCTTGATGCTACATGGCTCGTCTCCTTACGCCTTTCCTCCGTCCTCTTCCTTGAATTTCCCGCTTTGTCATTTGCTGGTTGCTTGGCATTGGATTTTCGGTTCTCTCCATGGTATCAATCTAGCATGTCTCTGTTCTAAAGGTCAGCTTTGGGGTCGAACATATACAAAATGGCCCCGTATGTTCAGCCTGACACCACTTGACAGGCACGGCAACGAAACGTTTAATAATAATGATAATATGAGAATGGCTTTTTGTACACTTCCTAGAAGCCAGCCAACAAAGAGCTTCATGGATTGTTGCTACTGACTCGGATGGCACATCTTACCGATCTGCTCAATTCTTCAGATTCGACGGAGCAAAGTTCAGAGACCATATACCCCACCCAGCTTTACGATTGAAAATCTTTTGGTTTCTGCCCGTCGTGCTTACACATTTCGAATGCATCGCAGCTTCTCCTCCTCAGCTTCTCCTTCTCTTGTCCATACATGTCCTCTCATTGCAGCAGAATATATCCCCGTGTCACTTTTGAAGACTGCAAGCCCGTTCCTTTTTTTAGCCTTATCTAGACATACTCCTTTCTATTGAAAGCCGATGAGTGGATGATAGCCTCTATTCAAGAGATTGCATGATCACTTCTATCGTATGATGAACTTAGATGAAACGGCTTGTGCCATATTTCAAGGTGCAATTTATATTGCATGTGGATGTTGGGCATGAAGACATGTATCAGAGACCTAGAATCTCTTCGACCGTTCACCTTTCCAAAATCCCATCAATTCCCCATTCTCACTCACCCAATTCCGGAAGCCATCCACCAATGCTTTCGCCATCCCCTTATTCTTAGACCTGCTATCTGACGACAAAGCGCCGCTAGTGAATGCAGAGCCAGGAACGTGCTCCCCTGTCACATACTCGGAACCCATGCTAGGCAAAACGTTTTCCCCAGCACTTAGGCTGACGAAAAGCGCAAAAGGGACTGACCAAACACATAGTCCAAAGTAGGATGCCACTTCAGTGAAAGTTGGCATATCCTCAACGGTGACTTGATATGGGTGTCGCCAGCTTGTTGGGCTTCGCGTCGAGGGCAATGGCTGTGAGAAGTGACGAAACCAGAGCCAATGATTCAAACCCACGAGAACACACGACAAGATGAAGAGGGGATCGGATAATTTCACGACTGGGAAGCGGCGCAGGTTGCTGGCATATACAAGGTGGGAGCCGATACTAAGGGCTGAGAGGCCGAGAGGAAACCGATCAAACACGACAAGGAGCATCTGAACGAGGATTATACTGTATATCAGCCGGGATAGTAACCGACGGGCAAGGACGGTGTGTTCCTCCACGAGCTCTGACAGGTAATATAGCCCCGAAGCTAGAGTGAGTTAGTACTGGAGCCAAACTTCTGACTCTCCGGAACCAAGGGGTTTATGGCGAACAGCATCAGCATCGTTCCCATTTGTCGTACTTTGCACGTACCTATTGCTAGGGTGAGGAAAGCAAATCCTACGATCACTCCCAAGTACCCTACAAGCGGGAAAATCCACATGATCTGTGTTGGGTGGCGCCGCAGTGGGCGCAGGCTGAGACTCTGGAGTCTGTTTGTTCTCTCGAGAGGATTCGAACAGTTGGTCAGATCACAACAGCAAGCGGCTTGGTCTCTTGGACTGAGGATAAAGATGATAGAATGACTTTGAAAGCCCTCGCGGTCATATAGAGAAAGTCAATATCAGCTACCTCCGTCACTGAAGATGAAAAAGAGGAAGAAAGCGGTTGGCATAGATATACTGCAAGCGTGTCGTTGCGGAGTTCCATGCACTTCCTACATGAATTCGGGCGGCAGGTGCGGGCCCGCAGGCGGCCAGGGAGTTTCCATTTTTTTTTCTTCTGTGCCGCGGACAGAGAACTGACTTCAACCCCCAATTTTTGTCTACTTCTTGGGAATATTTTTCCAGCGATTCTACTTTTCTCCCCATCGGCAGCAAGATACAATCCCCAGTCTATCAGAGAATATACTTGTGATCGTCATGTCGCGCCCTGAAGACATCCTGTATGTTCTGCAGCACTGTCTCCCTCTACCTGATACTAACATCAGTGACTATTATAGACCCCCGGATCTATATTATGGGGATCGCGAAGCCGGTCGTTATAATACCTCAAGCCGCGTCAAAAAGGTGCAAGCAGAGATGAGCCATAGAGCACTTGAGCTGCTCGATTTACGGACCCCGTCCCTTATCTTAGACGCTGGCTGTGGGTCTGGTCTATCAAGTCAAATCGTCTCGCAGGCCGGTCATCAAGTCATCGGCCTTGACGTCTCGGCATCCATGCTACAGCTTAGTCTAGAGAAAGACGATGAGGCCGTAGACCTTTTTCTATCAGACCTCGGACAAGGCGTTCCATTGCGCGCCGGATCACTAGATGCAGCGATCAGCATCAGTGCAATCCAGTGGCTGTGCAATGCAGAATCGAGCGATGTCAGCGCTGAGGGCCGCTTACGGAGATTTTTCGAGGGCCTCTATGCTAGTCTTCGACGCGGGGGCCGCGCAGTCTGTCAATTCTACCCAAAGAATGATGCTCAGCGAAGCATGATCAGTGGAGCCGCGATGAAGGCCGGTTTCGGAGCAGGTATCCTAGAAGACGATCCTGGAACGAAGAACAGCAAGTTGTACCTCGTTCTCACTGTTGGTGGCGGCGGGCTGCAGGGTGACATTACCGGGATTGTGAATGGCATGAGCGATGTCGACGTCCTTGATGCCAGAAGAAGCGCCACGGAAAAGGGGCGAGCACTGCCCTCTCGGAAAGGCGACAAGGCTTGGATTATGCGTAAGAAAGAACAAATGACCCGGAAGGGCAAGGTGGTCAAAGCAAATTCGAAATACACCGGCAGAAAACGGCGCCCTGCATTTTGATCTCATTTTCCGTGGCCTTCCTGAGGTTTCCGCGAAGGACATCAAATCTTTTATTGTTACAAACAGATTTTTTCTGCAAATTGTGGCATCAAGAACGGCATAACCAACCACATCGGCTAGTTGCACCGAGTCTGTCAAAGTAGCAGCTCATATCAAAGCCGTCTCGACGCACGGAAACGGTGCGTAACAACATCTGCCTGGCTTTTGCATTGCATGTGATGCAGTGGAATTTGCTTTGTTGGACTTTCTTCCTCCAGGTCTTCTCACCAGCTCCTTTCAAGTGCGCGGTTTGGATTCACCGAGACCTCGAGTTAACGTATACTTGTTGGGCATTTGTTCCTCTGCCAGTGGATTATAGCTCAAAATTAGAAGATTGCTGTCGAGGGTTCAAATATGCAGGTTAGTAGACACCTAGTCATCTTTCATGGGTCGCTGTTTACTTGCGTCACATTCGTCCTCTGTGCTTTGCTTTACGATCTTGTCGAAGGACTTTGTATTGTGCAGGACAATATGGTGGTGTACATGTGGATGATAGAACATATAGCGACAGTACCAGGAGTGAGCATAGTCTACCAGATAAGGAATAGATTAACAGTGAACAGGCCTATACAAGCTCTCATCATCATAATAGTAGCAAGTTCAAAGAGAAAGTTCTTTACAAAGCAGCCTCCATCTTGTCGAGAACAGCTCTGGTAAACTCGTGGGTGGTGGCCTGACCGCCCATGTCACGGGTTCTTGTTTTACTGATGGACGAAGCGTTAGTCAAAAGTCCGCAATGACCCTGGGAGAAACGAATTTACCCTTCACCAATCACGTCATACACCGCCTTCGAGATCCTGTTCGCATGGTCATCTAGGCCAAGGTGGCGAAGAAGCATAGATCCGGACAGAATCATAGCGCTGGGGTTCGCTTGATCTTTGCCCTTAATATCAAGGCCGACATGGCGACATCCGGGCTCAAACACAGCGACGTCACGACCCATGTTGCAGCCAGGAACCACACCAGGACCACCAACGAGGGCAGCACCAATGTTAGAGAGAATACCACCGTACAGATTAGGCATGACCATCACATCAAACTGCTGGGGGCGCGAGACAGCCTGCATGGAGGCGTTATCAACAATCATGTCGTTGACCTCCAGAGTTGGGTAGTTCTCAGCAACCTTGTGGAAGGTGCTACGGAATAGACCATCCGCAAGTTTCATGATGTTAGCCTTGTGGATGCAGGTGACCTTCTTCCTGTTATTGGCAAGAGCGAAACCAAAGGCGAACTTGGCAATGCGCTCAGACTTGGCACGAGTGATAATCTTCAGTGACTCCACCACACCTTGAACGGACTGGTGTTCAAGGCCGGAGTATTCACCCTCGGTATTCTCACGGATGATGCACAGATCAACGTTCTCGTGGCGGGTCTTGTAACCGGGAATATTCTTGATGAGGACAACCGAAGCGAAGATATCGAGCTCCTGACGAAGAGCAACGTTGAATGACTGGTGACCGGAGCGCTCAACGGGGGTGAACAAGATACCCTTGAGACCCAGCTTGTTCCGTCGCAGGGACGCGATGGACTCCTTGAAGAGCTCCTCCGAGTGCTTATTGCCAGTGTCCACACCACTAACATCCACTTGCTCCCACTCAATGGGAACATTGTCGGCCTTGAAGATTGTTTTCACCGACTCAGCAACTTCAGCGCCAATTCCGTCGCCTGCGATGATAATTGATTGCAGGTCAGTATTCGACACAGGGTGGTGACGAGAGAAGCAATAAGATGGCCGGAGCCAGGTATAGGAAGCGATGACTTGGAGAAGATCGGGGTCAAAGTACCTGGAATTAGTGTGACGGTGTACTTGCCGCCATATTTGGTCGGCTTAAAAATGTCCGACTGAACGCTAGCAAAGGCTTGCGGCGGAAGATTAGTCACAGATAATTGTTGGCAAACCGTGTCGATGGCTTGGAAGGAGTTGACACACATCTAACGGAAATAGAGGAGCGGGCAAGGGTGGGCACCGCAGCGCGACGAAGGAGATACTGTCACAGAGGCGTTAATAGGAGAGTGTAGCAACGCGAATGGGAGAGACGAGTTATTGAGCTTGTTAACGGGTAAGAACGTAACAGAAGAGTCAAAGAAGAACAAGATCCATCTGTAGAAAGCCGGCTGAAGCCCTCTATTCCCAAAGTCTGTGTTTGAAGAGCTGGGTCGGCAGGCAATGATGTGCGGCCCAATAGGCAAGGGTGCGAAGGAATCGATTGAACAACTGATGCAGAAAGAAAGCAAGGATTTATGGTCTTTCTTCATTGACTTACCTGCGCAGGCTGCGCTGTCCGGAGAGAGAACATCTTGGCGGAGCAGAGGTGAGCAGAAAGGAGGGCAAGGAGAGGAGAGGCGCTGAAAAGCACTGGTGTTGGCAAAGAGGACGGGAAGGAGAAAGAGACGGAGGACGGCAAGAAAAGAGCGAGGCGAGGGAGGAGAGATGCACGAGACGCCGGAAAAAACGGGCGGATCGTCTCGGCATCCACCATGACCTTTCCTTTTTCCCTGACAACAGCACGGGCCGATCTTATCTCTTGCCTAGTGCCTGGCTGGAGCTGCTAACCCTGAACTAATTGACAGGCTACGTAATCAGATTGAGCATCTCTCCTCAATACAATGAGAATGTGCCAAGTAGGTAATTTTGACCGTCTCCTACTTTGTAGTACTTCGGAGCTGACTGCCAAAGTAGCCAAAGTAGCCGGTGTAGTTCCTCCCGCGGCGCTGATAAATGCTCTATCATTTCTTGGACCAACGCGTTTGGATTCCGGCGCCGGATACTAGATGGACGCAGTTCGTGGTACTGTACATCTGACCCGTTCAACATCTCTTTAGGATCTGAATGACTGCATCTTTGAATGTGAACTTTTCTTCCCGCTGAATCGACTCGAACTTATTGAGGGCTGAATTGGGAAAAGATTAGCCAATCATTGTCTTGTTCTCTTCAACACACCTTTGAACCTCATCTCTATTCAGGCCCCGATCGAGCGACTGGAGCAACGGAATATCGAGAACCACAAGGCAATATGCGATGCCACGCTTAGTTCTTCACTATACTCACAGTCTCTGCTGGCCGTTACCATACGAATCCTCTCTAGTACCAGATTCATGTTTCCGCCAAAAAATATCAGGCTGCCAACCTCTTGCTTACTTGACAGCAGACAGGATACATTCTAGCCCATGCCATTGGCTTTTCTTTGATAATCCATGATTGATGCTTCCTTTCTGTTCTTTTTCCTTTTTGCTCGCAATAGGGCTATCAGTCTTGTCTTCGCCAACATATTCTGCGGGTCCACCAGTTTCATCAATAGAAGCCCATTCTATTGAAACACCTATTCAACGATCATGGCAGCACCTTTTGTTGTGCTTTTATGCTTAAGCCACCCATATATAAGATGCCTCCCTTTCCATATTTTCATGGTCTCTACGGTGCCAGAAAACAAGCAAATCTGTCATATTTGTCCATTCAAAAACATATACCACAAAATACCATTCTTTGCCTCTGCTATTTTCAACCGCCACCATGAAGCTCCTATCCTTGATGCTTGCCACTCTTGCTGCCACTACTGTGCAAGCTGTCAGTGTGCAAAAGTGGTGCTATCTCCCTGGTCAGCCTTGTGCCATGATGAAGCGTGCGGCCGATGTAACCGGAGAAGTCAAACGCTCAGCTGATGCCTTGGCCGAGGCCATGGCAGAGGCTTCTCCAGCCAAGTTGCAGAAATGGTGCTACTTGCCTGGCCAACCATGCCAGAAGATCAAGCGAGCCGCCGAGGCTGTTGATGAGGTCAAACGCTCCGCTGATGCTCTTGCGGAGGCCATGGCAGCACTCGATGACGAGTAGTGTGCCCGAGCGTGGCATGTCGAAGTGGCCTTTTTCCCGGCCACGGCTTCTGCTCTTCCAGGGCCTGGAAGGCATCTACACGTTTCTTTCCTCTCTCGATTCTATTTTTGCTACTACTTCGCTTCTCTCTGGAGCTCGGTCCGATTTATGCTACATATGCAATTTCTTGACGGCATTCCTGCTACGACCATGGGGGCTTACGTTATACCAACCAGCAGCAATCTCTACGATCTAAGAACGTGGCATTGGCTGAGTCACTCGCTAACTTGATTCTCCGGTGCCGTCCATTCCTTGTGTGGTGGTAGTTGCGTCAAGTTCTTTCCTTCTTTTCCTCCTCCCTTCCTTCAGATCATGACCCTATCCATGACTCTCGCAGCCAAGAAGTTGTGTGCCAGTAGGAAAGGGGCGGAGGGTTGAACGACATTTGGCAACCCTTGGGTTAAGATATCAGGGTGATCCAGCAGGATGGAGAAACAGTATATAAATTTTGCTCTAGCATATGCATAGACCTCTGCTCCATTTTCCCTACTCGTTCAGTGGGATGGCACTAGTCAGAAAATAAAACTTCCTTCTTCTGGTCTGCATCAATTTCGTATGAACAATACACAGCTCAGGTTATATAAACATGACATTGCCATAGAGACACCATGCCCGGTGAGTTTGTGTTATGGGCCTGTGATATATGTGGTATTCTATATCTATGCTGCGCTGTCATTTTTTCATGGCCTCCCAACTACGCATTCGAAAATATTGGAGCCCCTACAGAGTGCACAGGCATATTGACGTGACAGTGGTTGGGTTTCCGATACATTGTGAGCAATAATCCGTAGCTGTGATGGATTCACACCCCCAGGGAGCAATCGTCGGTACATATTCTCAATCATAGTACTTGGGTGATGCCGAATGCTCATACTCCCACCATCTCTGGCCCTGGGAGCGATAAACAGGATCATTTGCAAGCCTGTATGTTGATCCTGCCGTGGGCTCGCTTGCTGCACTCCCGTCTCTTCTGTTGGAGAGTTCTTTGTCATTCTGAGCGACGGCCCTATAGCCATTGATCATGTATGGCTCGGCATACTGGCTGACGCTGTGGTCAACGCCCTGGTCTAAATCATACATATCGAGATCATCAACCGTGCGAGTCTCATGCGATGTGCTCCAGGGATCAGACATGCAGGTAGCCTTGGTCTTACCCTGGTCGCTGTGGTATCGGTGCTCCGGTGACAATTGCCACATCTGGATTAGGCGTGACCGTTGTTCTGGCATTGCTCCTTCGTAGAGCTTCCATTGTCTTGGCAAAAGTGTTGATGGATCAATGTTGTGATACCTCAGAGTGTCACTTGCTGTGGGGTGCAGGTTCATAGTGCTGGCCGGGTTCTTCCTGATACTATATAACTCTGGGTCGGGGGGAGCAGGAACAGAGCATAGTGATTGGTCGCTGGCAATGGGTGTTGATATTTTGAGTGTCATACTCCTCTCGAAAAGCGCAGCGAGTTCTTGCTGGAGTTGCATGTTACTTGCGGATGCCGACAGTCGGCACTACAAGCCCTTTTGGTCAGGAGCTGAGTTCGAAGCAGTGTTGGACTCTCTACCTGACTACAGCATGAAAGTTCGATCAACGGGGCGAGTGTTTCGGAACCACTCGTCCCCTGGCTGCAGAACAGACACTGAGGAGGAAATATAGACTCCATGGCAGAGTTATTGGTCCAGGGAAAAAGATTCAAGTGCGAGAATGCCCCGGTGAATGAAGATCAAGCAACTGGTTCGGGTGGAATCCAAGTTATGCATACATGAATAGGAGGGAAGGAGAGAACGTGATTGTCCTTTGAGCAAAGTCACTTCTTTCTGAGAGACAGCCGCAGTGATTGACCAGGAGTAGTGGATTGATACATATATAAGGCACTGGGTGCAAAGCGGGCAGTGAGAGCACATGCTGCCCAATGCCCGAACGATCATGGTTCTCGTTGGGCACATGAAATAAGAGAATCAGGTAATTTACCGAGAGTTCACGGTTGAATATAGTGAAGGTTCTGTACAAGCGCAAGTATACATGTGGGTGCTAAAAAGTAAAGATTCTTACTAGTACCTGTTACCATGCCATCCTGGATGGTTACTGGCTGTCCGGCACTTGGTCACTACCCTGTACTTTCAGCTTCGCTTGGAAACAGTTTTGTCCAGATGGACTCAGGCTTGGAACAACGTCATCTTACTTGATACTTTACCACGTGACTCGCAAACTCCTAAAGCAGCGAGTGGTCCGTGCGACCTGAGCTAAGGCCAGGCAGCTCCTTCCAGTCTACTACCTTAGGCATAGGTAACGAACTACGCGCGTCAGCCGACTTGCTTGAAGTCACCATACCTTTCTTCACGACCTTCCAGATCTATTGTCCCGAACTCATAACACTCTATACCCAGTAGCCATCCACCTACACCTGACACTTCCTCCACATCCTTGTATCCCGATTCGCACCAGTTCTGTGACTGTTCACAATCGCCATGGTTCGTTTAGGCTGTCTGCTTGCTCCTGACAACCCCGCTCCTACGATACTGACACCTTCATAATCTAGACATCTATTGGTACTGGTTATGATCTTTCAAACTCGGTGTTTTCGCCCGATGGCCGTAACTTCCAGGTAAAGTCCTGTGCAAGATCCAGGGGGCTAGGCAAGTCATTGACTATCTCCTACAGGTAGAATATGCGGTCAAAGCCGTCGAGAATGGGGGAACGGCCGTTGGCATCAGATGCAAAGACGGTGTTGTACTGGCGGTGGAGAAGATTATCAGCAGCAAACTTCTGAAGCCCGGTGCGAACAAGAGGATAGCAACAGTTGATCGCCATGTCGGCATTGTATGGTGTTCACCTCGTGCCTAGATAAAGGCGTATTGCTCATTGCTAAACTTGCTTATGCTAACATGTGCGCTGGTGTTGATGTAGGTCTCGGCAGGATTAGTTCCCGACGGTCGGCATTTCGTCTCGAGAGCTCGAGACGAGGCTTCTTCGTGGAGAAATGTCTACAAGGGACCTATACCGGTCTCCGCTCTATCGAACCGGCTCGGCAGCTACGTACAGGCTTACACGCTCTATTCGAGCGTGAGGCCCTTTGGAGTGACCGCTATCATCGGAGGCTGGGACTCTGAAGCGGAGCTTGCGGTTGACGGTCAAGTTGGAAGCGGACCCAAAGCAGGTTCTGGTGGGAAGGTTGAGTGTGCAAAAGCCGGAGGTCCAGGCTTATACATGATCGAACCGAGTGGTCTGTATTGGGTAAGACCACCTGGCTTGCACGGCTTTGAGTTGATGATACATGCTGATAATGTGAAAGGGTTACTATGGCGCCGCAACTGGAAAGGGCAGACAGGCGGCGAAGGCTGAGCTGGAGAAACTGGACCTGAGTGCCGGCAATCTCAGTCTCATTGATGGCGTGAAAGAGGCAGCTCGCATTGTCTACGTCGCTCATGAAGACAGTAAGGACAAGGACTTTGAACTCGAAATGACTTGGATTAGTTCACTAGATGGTCCAACGCAAGGAAGACACGAAGAGGTACCGAAGGAGCTGCTCGAAGAAGCTGAGCGGGCGGCAAAAGCGGCTCTCGAGGGAGATGACGATGAAGATGATGCGGCGAAGGGCGACGCCATCGACAACGAACGCATGCAAGAGTGAAGTTTTCAGGTTCTAATCAATAGATGAGCAGGCGATTTCCGCGAGAATTTACGGCTCCTCTTCAATACCTCAACCTATCATAAACGGGATGGCTCTTCCTTGACATCGATCTAGTAAATAAGGCTTCATCTGCTAAGATTTTCATCGGTTGTAACCCTCGATTAAGAACAAGAAGAGTATCTTTCCAATTCGGGCCATATACCTTGTCAGCCGCTTGATCCACCCTAAATGTTTCTGCCTTCAGCCCAGTCTCTTCTCTTTGCTCCGAGTTCCACGGCTGCATTGCCCCAATCTTCACCATGGTTATGCATGCCCTTTTTACCCAATCCGGCTCTTTCCAGGCCTTGTTCCTCGTTCAGTACAGTAAGTACACCAAATATGACAGGCACGCCCGTCTCCAGCTGGACGCGCATCAGTCCGTGAGTCACAGCATCGGCAATGTATTCGAAATGCATGGTTTCCCCTTTGATCAAAACACCTATCGCAATTATGGCATCGAATGGCTGGGGCGTATCAGTAGATGGAGGCTGAGTAGATTGGTTTGCAAGGTCTGCAGACGAAGAAGAAAGCAAGTCCGTGGCGCTGATGGCCTGAGCAGAAGCCGAGCTTCTGGCAGCTTGAATCTGCGAGGCGGCATATATCCTAGGAGTACAGCATTAGAGGAACTACTACCGAAAAAACAGTTGGCTTTCCTTAGCGCTCGCTTACCGCTGCGCTGCATAGGGCAACTCATAGCTGCCTGGAACGGTATGCAATGATATATTCTCCTCCAGAACTCCGGCTGATAGGAGGCTTCGTTTGGCCCCGTCAACAAGAGGGCCGATTATCTCCATGTTCCACCGCGCGTGAACAATTGCAATTCTGAGCCCCGAGCCTACAGGGATCAGTGTCAAGCAACAAGGCATGTGCAAAATGCTGAAGTGGGGTAGCCCTCACCGTTGTGTACCTGCGCGGCTCCTGGACCTTTAATTGTAGTCATTTTTGCGTTGAACTGAGGATTGTAATCTGCAATCTGGTTACTCTGTTGGATTTTTGAGACTATTTGTACGAGGTGTAGAGTTTACAGCGAACTGGCAGTTGGCCGTTTGCGGTTGGGATCCCGAAGTGGGGTCCGAACCGACCCCGCTAAGCCACTCCATAGTGTTACTACGTAGGTTTGCAAGCTTTGATGTATACGTGTATCAAGCAATCCTGGCTAATCCGGAGGGCCCTTATAGTGGCAATGAGCTCATTGCTCGCATGTATCTCAAGGCAAGCTACGCAAAAATGATCATTCTCGAAGATAGACGAATACTTCATTCCAGGGCTCGCATCTTTTGTCGTTAAAAAAATTGTAGTCATTTGTATGAAGGCTACGGTAGAAAATAGAACAACACGGCCCTATCTGCTGTGTACTGGTAAGACCACATAGTCAAACTACTCGACGGTCACCGATTTGGCCAGGTTCCGAGGGAAATCAACATTCAAACCCTCTGTGACCGCAAGCCAATAAGCGATTAGCTGAAGGGGGATGACATTGATAAGCCCTTGGAGACAGTCGACTGTCTTAGGGACTTCAATCTTCTCCGTCTGAGCTGAAGAAAACTCCGGATCATCGTGGTTGCAGATGACGATAGGGCGACCTCCACGGGCGATAACTATCATATGGTCAGTCTATCCTGAAGGGCCCATATGCCAAAGAATTTCAGGTGCGGGAAGGCGGTTGTACTTACCTTGCTGGTAAGCATTCAAAGACTTGATGAAGATGTTGTCTCTGGTGAGAATCATGATGATTGGCAGGTTCTCGTCGACTAAAGCAAGAACACCGTGCTTCAATTCACCCGACATGACAGCTTCGCAGTGGAGGTAGGAGATTTCCTTGATTTTCAACGCGCCTGAAAGGAATTAGTAAGCACCATATAGCGATCCCCAAAGTCACAAAGCATACCTTCAAGGGCCGTAGGAAATTGGCCACCTCTACCAAGCAGAAGCAAACTCTTCTGGTCCTTGAAAAACTTTTCGCACATTTGCTTGATAGGCTCGTTAAGTTTCAGGATCTCTCTGAACTGGTCGGAGATCTTTGAAAGTCCCTCCATGATCTCTTCGCGTCTCTTTTGCTTGGAAGCGCGGTCTTCGCTCAACGAAAGGGCAAACATGACCATGGCCACGAATTGTGAGGTATAAGCCTTGGTTGAAGCAACGCCGATCTCAGGACCCGCATTGATGTGAACACCGCAATGGGTCAAGAGCGAGATAGAGGAACCTACAACATTCACAATACCGACAGTCAAGGCACCTCTTTCGAGACAATACCGAAGTGCCATAAGTGAATCCGCAGTCTCTCCAGATTGGGAAACAAAGACACACGTGTCATCGCGGAAAATAGGCGCCTGTCTGTCTAGAAAATCGGAGGCAAGCTCAACGGAGATAGGAATCTCAGTAAGCTCTTCGAAAACTCCACGCACAGCCATACACGAATGGTAGCTCGTTCCGCAAGCAACGAAGATGATTCTTCTGCACCGCCGAATGGTAGAAATGTACTGTCGAAGCCCGCCGAGCGTGACCTGCTTGTTCGCAACATCCAGTCGACCTCTCATGGTGTTGACCACGGATTCCGGTTGCTCAAAAATCTCCTTTTGCATGAAATGGTCGAATTTTCCTTTCATGATCTCCTGCAACTCGAGTTCGATTGTCTGAATGGCGCGGACATTGGAGGTTCCATCATCTTTGGTCAAACGGTGAATGTTGAGCTGGCCCTCGTGGATATGAGCTATGTCATCATCCTCAAGGTAAAGGACCTTCTTCGTATGTTCGACAATCGCCGATGGGTCGGAAGACAGGAAAAATTCTGCCGGCTGGGGGACACCATCGTCAGACAGGAAAGCACGAGACTGAGAACGATGCAGGAGGGACTTGTCAGGGGGAGCGAGGAGCCCGGTGGCGGACTTTTTGATGGCTACGTTCTGAGAAGCCTGCTCAGCCGGAAGGGCACCGTCTTCGGAGAACTCGACGTCCACGAAATCAACCTTCATTTTCTTGGATGTGCGGACACCGATGACCAAGGGAGACCCTTTACGGGCAGCGATGACTTCATGAGGGTAGTGCACGGATTTGATGAGAAGACCAAAGGCACCCTCAAGCTCCTTAACAACAGCCTTGGCCAGTACTGTAAACTCGATGTCTGGCTGTTGGTCGTAAAGATATTTCGTGAGCTTGGCGATACACTCAGTGTCTGTCTCTGTTTCAAACCGGAAGCCTTTACTCTCCAGTAGAGCTTTAAGCTCCTTGTAGTTGGTGATGATACCATTGTGAACGACAGCGAACTCCCAGTTCAAGTCGGACCTATACACTCGGGAGGACAGTCGTATGCTTTAGCCAAAGAACCAGAAAGCAGCCGGAGACGTTTGACATACCTATGTGGGTGGCAGTTCTGACGAGATGGTGTTCCGTGGGTGGCCCAGCGTGTATGAGAGATACCAGCATGAGATTCAAAGGTCTTAGTAAGGTCGGGTTTCGACTCTTCGATAAGCTCTTTCAACTTTGCAACCTTGCCAACCTCTTTAAAGGCACAGACTTCATTCTTCTTGTCACCATCAATTGCAAGTCCCGCAGAGTCGTATCCACGGTATTCAAGTCTCGATAGACCTACGCAGCGTTAGGATGGCACGATACTAGATCCAGCAGGTACAGGGAAACTGACCATTGAGCAAAGTATCAAGGATATATTTGCGGTCCCTCTCAACGAGGTAGTTAATGTATCCGAAAATGCCACTAAGCAGTACATTCAAGTCAGAGCAGCTCGGCCCGCACTATCAGGAAAGCAGAACATACCACATGGTTGGGGTCCGAACACAACGTTATAAAGATCTAGGCGATATTGTCTTTCGGTTGGAAATGCACTCGACTCAGACTTTGCTTAAAGTTTCGTCGATGGATGCCAACTGTGGGAGAGCATGTTAGACCGAGCGGTGATTCTTTGAGGCGCAAGCGACAGATAGGGGCGTGCGGGGGAGGTGTTTCAAAGCGGTTCCAACATACACTGCCAGTATCTTTTGGTTGAGATAGAATCTGGATCTTGTTGGTGGGAGAGACGGCTATTATCAGGGTAGGGAGAAAGGAAGATTCGGAAAGGCAAGGGATAAATAGAGTAGGTAGAAGTGGAAGGGTATTAGTAGTAACTGAAGGGGAGCAACAAACAATGAAGGTCGGAAGGAGGGGGAGCTGCTATGTTTTATGTGGTAAGATTGACCCACAATTAGCACACAGACCAGGGAAGCTGCTACAGGCACTCCAGGGCACAACCATTTATCAAATGAGGTGGCAGCCAATAAGCCCACTCTCTGCGCCTCACACGGTCTATTGGTATGTTTCACCCGTGACTCAGCTCTGGACACCGCTGGGTAATGTTGGCATCTTCCCCGCGGTACTATATGGAGGATTGCCGAACAATATGAAACCAGACTGTACGTATCTACTACGTATTACAGGTACTCTCCCAGTTGCTCTACTCCACCGTTCGAAATGATGAAAATCAAGTACCCAGTTTTTGACCGACTAAACTGAGCAGGTCAAGGTTTCGAACACATGGCTATGGTCTGAGTATCACGTATACTGAGTAGAAGCAGTCTATCGGTAGTACCGTACAGCTAAAAGTTCATCACATAGTTTCAAATACTGGGTTATTTAGAGGGCCACGCCGCCACAGTCCTCTAAACATAGCTTTCTAATAATAGGCCACAGGCGTCTTAGTGCCGATTTGTGCCGTGGTAGGTAAGTCGCTAGTTAGCTTACCAACTGACTAAGTAAGACCTTGTAACTTAACTTATTTCGCCCTTTCAATTCAATAAAGGTCAATATCACCACACCAAGAGGTAGACAATTGTATGGTAGCTTAGCTAAGCTGATCTCTTTGGGAATACCTATTTTAGCTGTATGCAAAGCCTTCTGCTTACAGAAATGCAGCCCCTAATATAGTACTCGAGTAGTGTCGTATCAAAAGCATATGGGTCTTTACCACCCAGACGAAGGTTTTATAGGCAGTTTTACAAGCTCAAATGAAGAAAGGGGAAGGGGTGCCCCCCGGGGGCACAATAGGGCATGGTCTCCCATTCGACGTTTCTTCTATATTCTCCTACTGCTAGTACGGAGTAGTTAGTATGTTTATCTATAAGTTACGTGCCGGTACTCAAGATGTAGCCGCGGTAGGCTGAAACTCCGTTGGCCCAGACATCCATCCCCACGTCCCCCTTTCCTTTCCTCCCGGCAGACACACACCTGGAGTAGTCATTTGAACTTGACCGGATTGTCGGTGGCACAGCACCAGGCGGTGCACCGGTGGGTCGATCAGAGGATCCTTTCTGTTTCTGTGAGGGCACAAGGCTCTGAAAAAATAACGAGGCTCCATATGCAGTCTACTGAGTATAACCGATTCTCTATCAGGAAACTATGTACAGGTACTCCAAATCACTGGTGCTAAAGTTTGACTGGGGCTTCAGGGCTGAGTTTACTCAGAGCCACCGATTATGGTCACTACACAGCTGGAGACATTTAGTATATGTCAATTTTTGAATTAAATCATAACAACAAGCATGTACTGAACGGGTGGAGTTTTAAATGCGCTGAACCAACAGACAACCTAGTGAAATAACTTAAGAATTGCTAGACAAACCACAATTGTTAAATGACATAAACAATATAAGGAACCCAATTTATAGACATGCTCTTTATCATAGTAATTGAATCTACGATTTCTATATTTTGACCTTTAATCACCAAGCAATTTTCTTAACAAGTTGTACTTTAGCTGGCCAGGCCGGTAGGCTGATCGGCCAATCCTTTCCTTCTCTTCCACCTCTGATGATGAGATAGCTCCAAACAATTGCCCCAAAGGCGCTGGCAAGCATCACATGTCGACTTTGTCCAACAATGGTATTCAACATCGGGTTCACACCATGCCCTGTCATCACATCTCAGACCATCATACGGTACCAGGTTTTCGCAGGGCGGACACACCTCAGCATCACATCCTTGATACGGTGCAGAAGGCTATGACTGTGGGTGTATAATACTGAGGACAACAGATGGCATGTTTAATCATTGATACTGTATATGCGGCATAAACTTGGGCTTGCGGATTGATATTAACTAGGGTTCATGCCAACGCGCTTGACTAAGCACCGATAAGTTATTAGTTAACTAGTTATTAAATCAACTAGCTAAGTAACTAGACATCTACAAGCAGGGATGAAGACCCCTCTCACAATGGGCGGGGTCACGATGTCATTTCGAAGGATTGGTGGGGGCGGTCATATTTCGCAGCGTATAGTCTACGGACTCCTTCGCAGACTGACTCGGGCTGGGTGGCGAGACATTAAACACCCTTAAGCTGGTATGCTGTATTTGACTCGCTTGTCTTCAGTTCATTTTGCTGGTAAAACCGTGTCTTCCGTACTAAGGACTATGATAACATCCTAACGCCAATAACATACTATATACTCTTATATATGCACTGCCAACTTAATGGGCATGGATGCAGAGGGTAACGTGTGCCAACGGTAAACCGAAATATAAATTCCAAAAATACTTCATGTCAATATTAGCATATTATAAACCAGCTACATATCCGGTATCTCCAGCATTCCCTACTCAACCTGGGCCCACAGTACTCGAGACTACTCTACATACCTGCAAGAGCATTCATTATCTTAAACTGGTGATAAGTCCACTGCTGTTAAAAATAAGCATCGGGATTGTCTCCTGAGTACTTGCTTATCTGCAATGATCATGGCATAAACACAAAACACTCCGCTAGTCGGATGTCTCAGAATACTGACTGTATATGATTTAATCTCCAGAATGATGCGAGAAACATACTCTAAACAACACTAGTGCATAACTTTTACGATTCTCAGCAGGTTATTCTCCCCTACTTATCGAGGAGAAAATCTCCGCTCGAGTGCAGCGTGCCCTGCCAATTGTCAAAGCCCGCGGTAGGTATAAGCTCTTGCACAATGAAGTACCTTAAAAATGCAAGCGATGTGTGCGACCGCTTGTCGGGAATATTGATACTCATACATGGCAGATGGACTGGTCATAGAAAAAGGATATTGGGAAGAGTCGCGCGCCGATCTGATGACAGGATGATCATAAAGCAAGGCGATAAAGGGAGAAAATTGCGGCGATTGATACTATGGAAGTTATCTTATTCGTATGTAACTTATAGTTACTGTACTTGCGTACCTTTCACCCTAACAAACGGAGTAACCTACTTACACCCCGCCGCTTCTGTGGTCAATTTTACCCGGCGCGTTGCCAAGGTCGTCGCGTCGGTATGGGTACAGTACATTTTATCTGTGACTGAGTAAAATATCCTCCCTCCTACCTACCTTCTTTCAGGCCATTCAGCGTGCCACCCGCATTTTTTTTCTCTCTCGACCATTGTTGCATTTCATACGGATTTGTTTTGGGCCACCTATCACCTCCAGCGCCCAAGTCATTTTCCATCTCATTATACGTAGCCCGTCCGCTCTTCCCAAGGGTTGCGAATTTGACTGCTCTCGTTACCGCCTTTGGTTCCAGGAGAGTTTCCTGGCAATACATGCCCATTAGACACGGGACCAATATCAAGGATGCGGCTTGGTACTCACATTTATCTTGATTCTGGCTGGTAGCCATTTCTCATCATGTCGCGCACTTCAGCAGGTTTTGCAGACTTCTTTCCCACCGCTCCGTCAGTTCTACAGCAGAAACGCAAAGTCACCAAGGACAAGACCCAGAACAAGGTTCATTCGAATGAAGATACAGACCACGAAAGACTCGCATGTTCGACAGAGGCTCAGAATATCTCTGACTCGGGTGTGAGCACGGCAAGCTCAGGTTCAGGGAATGATCAACCTAGGGAACCGAAACCTGCATTTTCCGATACGGCCGCAGATGGATTCTCAAGTGCGACAAGCAAGAGTCTTACCACGCCTCACGCTTCCGCAGCACCTCCCGGCGCAACAAGTGGCAGCGAAGGACGCCTAGATACGCTTACGCCGCTTACAAATGCAGAGCCCTCACCCACCCAGAAGGCCAGCCCTGGTCGAGCCAGAGAAACGGCAACAGCTGGGGTTCTTTCTAGAAACCCTAGGACCGGTGAACCAAAGCCAGCCATCGCCTTGCTACAAACTCCGCCAACACCGGAGTCACAGGGGCGCTCGACCGGAACCTTTAGAGGCTGGAAAATAGCCTTAGACCCCGAGAACGAAAAGCGGACATCAAAAGACAAACGCAAAAAGGCGCGCTATGTGGAGATCATGTCCCATGGACAGGATGATAGACTGCCGGATCCTCGACTGGTCATAGTAAATTATGCGCGTGGTGCCGGCTGCAAGCAGAAAACAAAATTCCGTCCAGCCCCATATACTTTGCGACAATGGGTGTACGATGCTTCTACAACAATCGGGCCTGGGCCCCCGGTCCAGATAGTGGTCACTGGGTTTGACCCTTTGACCCCAATCGCGCCAATTAATGCTCTTTTCTCCAGCTTCGGAGACATCGCGGAGATAAATAACCGTACTGATCCAATCACCGGCAGGTTTCTCGGGATTTGCTCCGTCAAGTATAAAGATAGTGTCTCATTCCGCGGAGGTGGCCCACTACTCGCAATAAATGCCGCAAGACGAGCGTACTGCGAGTGCAAGAAGGAACAGCGTATCGGAACCCGGAGAATTCGAGTCGAATTGGACCGGGACGGGGTTGTCTCGGAGAAGATAGTGTCAAGAGCGATTGACTCCCAGAGGATGGGATATAAGAACTGTCTTTCTGTTGCAGAAGATACAACGGCTGGCCCCTCCGTCAATCAGAATGAGCCCCCCCCGACAGCGCCAAAAGGCCCATCGGGAAGGTTCGTGACACGGGTGATGCCCGTGATCCCTGAAGGACCAAGGGCTAGCTTCTTCAAGTCAGTTGTGCCGTCCTTGGTCGAGGAAATTCCCATTTTGAGTCAGATCAAGCGAGACCCATATATCTTCATTGCGCATTGCTATGTTCCGGTCCTTAGTACAACGGTTCCTCACCTGAAAAAAAGGTTGAAAGTATTCGATTGGAAAGATATTCGATGTGATAAGACAGGGTATTACATCATTTTCGAGAATTCCAGGCGAGGCGAAGAAGAAACAGAACGTTGCTACAAGATGTGCCACATGAAGCCGTTGTTTACCTACATCATGAATATGGAGAGTCAACCCTATGGAAACCCAGGCTATGAGCGCAGCCCCAGTCCACAACGATTGCAGGCAGAGCAGCGAGAACGAGCCAGGTTGGACAGAATCAAGAGAGAAGCTGAATTGGATATCGAGGAAGAGAAAAGCCAAAGAGCAAACGATTTGGATCCCTGCAAGGAAGTGGTAGCCATCATAGTTCGGGACCTGAAAGACAAATTGCTCGAAGACGTGAAGTCTCGGATTGCTGCACCAACTTTGTATGACTACCTCGACCCAGATCGACATGCAGCAAAAAGAAGACAACTGGGAATTCGTGATCCGGCAGGGGCAAAGAGACCTCTGTTTCAAATTGGCATAAATAGCCCAGCTGGGACACCAGATTCACGTTCGGACCTGTCTACAGCCCGCCACCCTTTCGGTCCCTCAAATCTGAGTATCCTTGCGCTTCCACGTATAAGGAAAGCTCACCGCCTCAACCACACAGACGCTGCTTTCTTGGACGAGAGGCGTAAACAACCCTTGCGGAGGAAAGAGGTTCGACCTCTCTATCACCGTCTACAACAATTACACCACGTGGATGATTCAGATGACGAGCAGAGGACGCCTTTCACAAGAGACACCGATGATCCGGACAGTCGTGCCCCAAGCCGGTTGAGCTCAGAGTGTTCGGATTCAGAGGATGTTGATGAACTCGCTCCGCAGGCCTACGGTGCATCTGCCGAGCAAAAAGTCGGCAATGACGAACATCTGTACAGTCTACCTCGAAAAGAAAATGTCGATATCTTGGTTGAATCGGTCACTGATGCCTCGCACGATGCTTCGTACCCTGAACAGCACAAACTCTCCCCGGCATCTCGCAAGCGAAAAAGAGAAAACGACAAAGTCATCGCGCGAAAGAGAAAGAAAGAAGATGGAGACCTCTTTCAAGTCGATCAAGCCGCAGGTCTCAGTGAGGGACGATTGCACATGGAATCATCCATCGACTTGGAGGTCATTGAGAAGCATATTGCAGATGAGAATTTCTCTCTCGCGAGTGACAAAGATTCAGATAGTGGGCACATTAGTGAAATCTCGAAGCGGGCAGTCGATTCTGCGAAGCTTTTGCGGTCTCGACTGGCTGTTGAGGCTGACACTCAGGATGATGATCATGGTTGTGGCTTCACCCCCATTGCCCTAAATGACGACGAAGTCCAGAAAGAAGTGTCAAAGACTGAAATAGGATGGAAGGTTTCCAATGACGAGCCCCGCCCAACGGTCGAGGATGACGAAGCTATTGTGCTAGATCTCGATGGGTGGCAGAGTCTGATTAAGGATGGGGAGGACTTGCGTTTCCTCCGTGATGTGCTGGAAGGACTACCAGTATCGAACGTTGGAAGTCTCACTGCTTGGGCATGGAGACAAAAAGAAATCAAAGCCCTGAATCGCCCTGGAGAAGTAGGACCTGTGCGCGAAGCAACCAGTATCCTTGGCTACTATGTCTCAAACATCACGGGAGCTGCAAGAACCGAGGGGAGGAAGAGGATTCTGGAGTCGGAAAAGTCCAAATATTTACCGCACCGCATCAAGGTTCAACGGGCTCGCGAAGAGCGAGAGGCAAAAGCGAAAAATGACCCTCACAGTGTTGCTGTCGAAGCCGCGAGAATTGCTGCAGCCAAGACGATGTCTAAATCCACATCCAGATCAACAAGAGTCAATAATCGCCGACTCATCGCAGATATCAACGCACAAAAACAGGCCCTCCCAACTCAAAGCGGCGACGGTGATGTTCTTCGTTTCAATCAGCTGAAAAAGCGAAAGAAACCTGTTCGTTTCGCTCGATCTGCAATCCATAATTGGGGACTATATGCAGAAGAGAACATCTCGGCTAATGATATGATCATCGAGTACGTGGGTGAGAAGGTCCGCCAGCAAGTTGCTGACATGAGAGAGAGACGATATTTGAAGAGTGGCATCGGCAGCAGTTATTTATTCCGTATCGACGAGAACACAGTCATCGACGCCACAAAACGAGGAGGCATTGCGAGATTTATTAACCACAGCTGTACACCCAATTGTACTGCGAAGATTATCAAAGTGGATGGAAGTAAAAGGATTGTCATATATGCCCTGAGGGACATTGAAAGAGGTACGCTTTGTATCATCATCCCCTGAATTATTTGACATGCTGACACATCGATTAAAGATGAAGAGCTTACATATGACTACAAGTTTGAAAGGGAGTGGGACAGCGATGACAGGATCCCCTGTCTTTGCGGTTCCAGTGGTTGCAAAGGTTTTCTCAACTAAGAGTAAGCTCGATCGAAGCTTTAAACCCCTGTATGCGAGCTATTCTCACAGTTGCAATTTGTGGTCAACTCCATATCCAAGCTGCCGTATAGTGGCGTTTTCATACAGACAACAAAGTAGCTTTAATATGATGGGGTCAAACAATCTGGTACATTGCGAAGGCCGAGAGCTCTTATCGAGGATGTAGTGCCTTGCCCATTATGATGGCGTCTATGCTCGACATGTAGTTAATGCCTTGTTCAATCCCACCAGCTGTGAAGCAAATGCCATCCCAGACGGCATATGTTAACAACCATAATCTATTGAAGAAAGGGCTAGGGCGGGTTTTTCTTCGGCGAAGCAGCAAGGAAAGAGCTCAGTCAAATACAGACGGGGTATCAAACAACAGTCTGATCATAGCACCAGCGCATGAAGAATCATGAAAGAAGAATTACACTATAGCGGAAAGCCGTCAGCATAGACCCGGATTTCCACGATGGAATTTTTTGTCTTACCGAGATGGCTGGGCAGAAGGAAATTAGCAATTCCTTCCTTGATCATATACTCATGACCGCAGTTGCCACAGCATAGTCTTCCTTCCACAACATGCGTCTCTAATAGCAGTCTGTGAAGATCTCTCATTGTCTGCTCATCATTGAGTGCATCGCCTTCAGGCTTCGAATCAGGAATCTTAGGGAAACCCAGCTAAGTCAATTGAATGAGTGGCCGGAATAAACTTTTCTTGTGGATAGTACCTGCACACTTACCTCATTGGCCATTACGCGTAGACCTTCCCAATCAATTCGTGGGATAATATTGTGTATGAATTCCGGCTGAAAGTCGACCTCTTGCAGTTCGAGTTCAGCATCCTTGAAATGCAGTGGGTAGGACGACGCGGCTGCTTTGCAGCCTTTGACAGCACATGTCAGAAAATTAGCAGTAAGTAACTTCATTGCTGTTGAGGATGGTTGAGCGACTCCTCGATATGAATGTATAGCTGGGATTGTCTTGCAGTGGCTTAGCTGTTGGTTGGGTGAGCGGCAAAAACGGAATGGGCTGTTTTCAGGTTACGTTATCAGTTTCCTGTGTAATAGGGTGTTCTATATACTGTACATGTGGGTGAAATTTGCTTCACCCTTGTGATTCCAACCTTGTTCCTCAACAGTATACATGAATTGCTGGACCATCTCTCGCCCTAAAATTTACCTGAGTAGACTTAATGAAATACAGAGAAGAGAATCCTTCCACCTAGATTTGACTATGTTCTTCTCCAATTTCTCTGAACTTGGGTATGTTCATCACGTGCTATACTATATTGCCGGTACAAGGAATGTGCAAACGTCACAAGAGTATTAGGTTTTTGGTCACCGAAATTTATTACTTGACTATTACATCCAGGAGATCATCATTTGCAAGATCATAATCTTCAAGAGCACATCCAAGGTCTAAGCGTTCACCATCAAATACAAGGTAAACCTCATGCTCCAGCGAAATCTGTCTCGCATCACGGAATAGGCGAATCAGCTGCGAGACCTGCATTTGAAGACTCACCCTCAATCTAAGATCATCTAGCCCCGAGGCCTTTAAAACGATATTTTTCAGAGATAGCTCGCCGCTGTCCAAGTCTACACCTGGCGCTAGCTTGGCGGAAGACAATGACCGACTGTTGTCAGGATCAAGAGGATCATCAGTAGCGGCTTCCATGTGAATTTGCAGGTCAGAGCTGTCACTTCGTAATGAATCACAGGCAACAGGCCCATGCGCATGGCGACCCTTGGGTCCAATTCCCAGACTGCGACATGTGGTGACATCGAAAAGGCGTTTCCCTTTCCAAGTCAGGAAGATAGAAGACTCGAGCCCCTTCGGTAGGTCTTGACGATTTAACCATGCAAGGCGCACATCTTTCAGTGGCTGATGCATTTTTCGGCGAACTATGAGCGGCTTGGTGTTACTGATTTTCGAGGTGATGAGGATCTGGACTATCGTATCTTCGGACGATGTAAGCTTCTTGCTGGGTGTCAAGTGGGGTTTAGTAGGGCTCAGCCTAATCGAGGGTTGAGAGTTATCAATGCAAGTTCTCTTGCCTCCACTAGGGTTCTTTACAGCCGATGTGCCAGAAGTAACAATCTCATCCCGAGATTTTGACGCCAACCCAGATATCAGGTGGTCAATACCACTGGGATCTGTCACTCCTGGTCCGTGCGATAAAGCATCTGGAGCTTGGCTGCTGAGCTGATCTTCGCTTCCATGTACAGATCTGCGATTGAAAGTGTTGCCATTGGATGGCAGTTGATGACTGAGAGATTCGTCAGAGGTTTTGCAGGTCCCCAGCGGTAATGTGTCACCACCATGATTCTCAATGGGAGTACGTCGCCGTTTGATTTCAGTTTCTTGAATTTGGTTGGCACGTCGCGCATGTTGATTCGTGGAAATTATATCATTGTACACTTGACTAGCATGTTGATAAAACTTGAGGTCCTGAGTTTCCTCTCCCCTGCTTGCCCAAGATGGCTTATTGAAAAAGGATCGCATCGAAAGGGCTCTGAATTGACAACCGTAAATTCTAGACTTGTAATGAATGCAGATTCTGGGTGACTGGGCAGAGACCTCGGAATGGAAGTAGACACGATGGTCTTTAAAAGAGAAGCGGTGATATCCTAAGGGCGACTTTTCAGCATTCTATTGTGGTAGGTGGTGGATTACAATCCGCCGTTTGATTAGAGAACACGTGCCTTAACTCGGAGACTAGTGCTGGCTTCCGGGGCTAGAAGTTCCCTGACAAATCGAGAACAACTTCCGCCAGCGGGGCCGACTCTCAGACTTCTGAAAGTTGCTGAATCTAGGATCACCAACTTATCCAAATTCAGTTGTGTCAAGATGGAGAATGGTGCACCTTCTGAAGGGAAAGATCCCTCGGCTTTCCTTGGCGAAATAATCGGTGCTCCAGTGACTATTAAATTGAACTCCGGTGTTGTTTATAAAGGTACCTTCCCGAGCTACTTTGTTCGACTACCTACTCATCTCCCAACTGGAATCCCAGCTTGCGAGGATGGGTATGGCAAAGATGGAACAACTTACCGGAATTTTCAACTTCTGAACCATTGCAAGCTGACATATAATCTCCTAGGTGAACTGCAGTCTGTAGATGGCTACATGAACATAGCTTTGGAGAAATCTGAAGAGTTTGTCAATGGCCGATTAACACGAAGCTATGGTGATGCTTTCATCCGCGGCAATAATGGTTCGTTTGAATCATATCCATGAGCTAGTGGTCTTATACATGCTTATCCTGATCCACATGGAGTAGTGCTGTACATATCCGCAGATTGACGAATTAAACCGTTAATATCACCTCGATCCTCCGAAGGACTCCGAAGGAGATTTGCGAGTTCTTTACCAATTCAACAAATTCTGAGGGACCATCGCCTTACTCGACCCTTGCGGTAGAGGGAACCATGAAGGAAAGCATTGCCGTGGTAATGAATTGAATTGCGGAGAATTGGGTTCGAGCTTGAAGGCCAGTGCAAGTTCTGTGCGGACTGGGTAAATCTCACACCTCTCCCTGGTACAGTGCCCTATGGAGATTAGCAAATCAAGTTCAGCGACTTAGGCCAGAGACAAAACATAATCAACTGACACGGTCTCTGGTGCACATCTTTATCACATAGAAAGGGTCACTAGAAATAGGTGGAGACGTGGTAGGGGCTAAGTTACTTATTCTTCTCTACAGGAATATAACATGTAAAAAACTTCCATAGAAAGAAAATTGAACCTTGAAGGGTGTTATGCTGCCTGGGCCAGGTGATAGTCCTACCTGAGTAGGTAGTGAGTAGTACGACCTAGTGTGCTCGGCTCAGAGGCTTGAAATTCCGCTTGCCACATTCTCCCCACCAATTAGACCGCCTGTACCTAGCAACGCCTCCAAACAAACGAGAAGGACTTCCCCACCGGTTAAATATCAGAGCAATACAGTCCAGCCAACACCGCTCTGTCTTTTCTTTGTCTCCATTGGTAGCGTTTCTAGCACTTCGAAATTACGGGACGATCCATTGATCCTTTTCTGAGGTGGATATCGCAAACATGACTTTGCAAGCCATCAAATATCGAGACGGTGTCCTCGCAATTCTCGACCAATTGCAACTTCCCTACGTGGAAAAGTATATTGATGTCAAGACGAGTGAACAAGCTTGGCATGCTATCAAGACTATGCAAGTCCGCGGTGCGCCGGCTATCGCCATAGTAGCAGCACTTGCCCTTGCGTCTGAGCTTCACCTACTGATTTCAAATGAGGGGTTATCTTCAGATGCAGACGAAGTTCGTGTTTTCATTATAGAGAAGCTGCAATACCTGGTGAGCAGCAGGCCCACGGCTGTCAACCTAGGTGATGCTGCGCGAAAGCTCGAGCTCGTGGTGTCTCAGAGTGCTAGCCAGGCTGGGGCGACAGGTCACGGGGTTGCCGTCTCCTTTATAAAAGCCTCGGAGGCGATGTTGGTAAAGGATGTTCAAGACAACAAGCAGATTGGGGAAAATGGCGCTAAATGGATCATGTCGAATGCGGTGGTTCCGGGGCAGTCAGAGGCCACTGTTTTGACTCATTGCAATACAGGGTGAGTCCACCATCGAGGAGAATCGGGATTTGAATTTCTAACATTCATCCAGGTCTCTAGCGACATCCGGTTACGGAACGGCCCTGGGAGTCATCCGCAGCTTAGCATCAATGAATAGTCTGCGGCATGCGTACTGCACTGAAACAAGACCTTACAACCAAGGTTCTCGGCTCACGGCATTCGAACTAGTTCATGATTGTATTCCCTCCACGCTGATAACAGACTCTATGTCCGCCGCACTACTTGCAAATTCCAAGGCTGGTGTGAATGCGATCGTCGTCGGTGCGGATAGAGTCGCAGCCAATGGTGATACTGCCAACAAAATAGGGACGTATGGACTTGCTGTCCTGGCAAGATATCATGGTGTGAAGTTCCTCGTTGCCGCGCCACTCACCACTATCGATTTGTCGACCAAATCTGGAAATGACATTGTGATAGAAGAACGGCCGGCCGATGAGGTTACTAAAATCAAGGGGCCCTGTGAAGGCGATACATCTAAGGGCGGAAATTTGGAGACTGTGCGTATAGCTGCAGAGGGAATCAACGTTTGGAACCCAGCATTTGATATCACACCAGCTACACTGATTGATGGAATTATAACAGAGAAAGGGGTCATGGAAAAGACAGCGGACGGTCAATTTTATTTAGCGGGTCTGTTTGAGGATTGATTGCCAACTGCCGGCTGCGGATGCGTCTCCATCTGGCCAAGTTCAGTGTCGCTGGAGGACACGGCCTTGCCACTATCGCATTGGCGAAAAAGCTCATCAATTCTAGTTTCGAGTTCACTCAGGTGCTTCTCCAGGGCCAGCGCTGCTTCCTCGCCTCTGATTGAATAACGATCAGTTGTGTTTGCGCAGAACTGCGTGATGTGTACGATGCTCGCACTTAGCTATTTCTTTAAAGGCCTATTTAGTATCATTAGCAGCTGAGGTTGCCTGGGGGATCTCGACTTTATGTTGAACTGGGGAATGTGACGAAGGTTTTACAAACTTACCATGGTAAATACACTGGAGACATTCTGATCTTCCAGGGAAGGCATCTTGGATATCTGTATGTTGGGTTATAGAATTTTTAAAAAATCGTGTGGAGGTGATAAGTGTGCCAGGAATATGTTTAGTACAGTCAATGGGAAAGTGATTACAGAGTATTTCAAACTCCGCCTCTGTCTCAGATAGTTTATCTATTAGGATTCTGCCGTCCGTGTCAGATTTGTTCGGTTATGCTCATATTCTGTGGTTTATTTGATGTCCGCCTGTCTGACCGTCATTTATGGTAGCAGCAGAACTTTCTGGGTTAATTCCTCTGATTTTATAATTTATCTTTATAGGAGTTTATTATATTGGTCACTCTTATTAAGATTCTTGAATTGGATCTGAAAGTACAAACTAGGCCTATGAAGTAAGTTTATCATAAATAAGGAAAACAAAGACAGAATGTTGAAAAGCCAAAGAATACTAAAGGCAGAAAATATAGTAAATGTGACATTCAGAAGTATGAGAAAGAAACAATAGAATTTATTAAAAACATTAGCTGTTCAGCTAATATAACCTGCAGTTCTAATTCACTGTCTGGATCAGCTCTGACTGCAGATCTATTAATCCGGTTGTAAGGACCCAACCGGCCCTTTCAATCTTTGCAGTTATTACAGAAATAAGTTTATGTAAGAGATTTAACATATCAGTTATGTAATTATTAAACAAGCTGACTATATTATTTATAAAAAATAAAATGTGTTTCAGAAATTAAATACATTAATAATAATATTGAAAAGAAAGATTTTAATATTTTAGTTTTGAAATATTATATTTTATTATATTATTCTATTATTTTAATCTTTTAATTATATTATTTATACTTTATAAAATAATCTGTTCAGTAATAGCTAACTATAATATGTATATAATAAAAAGTATGGATTTTATAACTATATAAGTTAATTAATATTAAACTACTTATTTATGATTGGACACAATATGATTAATATAATTAATTATTATAATAATTATTTAAGAAGACAAAAAAAAGTTAAATATATTAAAGTTCTGCTACTAAAGCAGTATAAAAAACAGCCATATAAACAAACAGCAAAATATTACTATATTAATATACAATAAAATATAATATATACTAAATTTTAAAACAGATATTCTTATTATTATAAATAATTAGATATTATACATATAAAGATACTAGAAATTAAAATTCTAAAAATAAAAAATAAGCTGTTAAAAAGAATAGATATATAAAACAGTAATATATTCTCAAGTAGAGCAGAAACAAAAAAATGAAAAAAATGAAAAAAATATGTCAGACTGGCAGATCACCTAGGTGTAAAACCCTAAGCCCTAGTTCTCTTAATTTAGCCATCTAAATAAGAACTATTATTCCAGTCTATCTTATTTATTCTATTTTTATATTCTTATTTTTATATTCTTATTTTGATATTCTTATTTTTATATTCTTATTTTTATATTCTTATTTTTATATTCTTATTTTTATATTCTTATATTAATATTCTTATTTTTATATTCTTATTTTTATATTCCTATTTTTATATTCCTATTATTATATTCTTATTTTTATATTCTTATTTTTACATTCTTATTTTTATATCTATTGAATATTCCATAATTTCTTATCAAAAAGTCTACCAGCTTTCTATTCAGAAAACTAATAAATATAGAATTTAATTTAAATAATCTAATATTTCTTATTAATTTGTTGAATTAGTTTAATCAGTTTTATTAATCTAATAATTATATATTGAATTTATTATTCTGCTTATTTCTTATATATTAAATTTTTGATTATTTCAATTTTTATTATCTTATATTTTAACTTCAATTTCATTTTACTTTTATATCTAATTTATATAAAAAAAACGTTAAATCTTATATATCAAAACCGAAACAATAATAATTATAAGTTTAGAAGATTCTTTATTTTGATGTATTTAATATTTTTTATTAAATAAATAATTAAACTATTAAACTAATTATAGTTGGGTTTGTTTTACATAAGTAATCAGATTATTTAATATTTTAATAGAATGATATAATCAAATTGATTAGATAATCAAATTCTATAAATTAATTAAATTCAGCTATTTATAATCAATAAAAAATATATCATTCACTAAATCTAGAACTATGGCAGGATACAATAAATGTGGATAAGATGAAGATTGACATGATTTATAAGGGCTAGAGGTGAAATAGCGTGAAGAACGAATAACTCTCGCGAGTCCAAAGATGCCAATATATTGCCTTAAGGTGTTGTTGCTAATCTTTCTAAGTCGCGAGGTGCCGCTCCCAATTAAGAGGTTGCAATCGGCTCGCTTAGTCATCATGTGACTGATGCCTGAGGCCATATATATATAGCTTTCCCTTCGCGGTATCCGCGAAGGTTGGAAGGGCTGGTCCAGCCCTTACATGATTGATTGTAGAAAGAAATAAATAAAAAATTATAGTAACTAAAAGATTCCTAAAAAAAGTATAGTAAGCAGGCCGCCGAATACAGCAGAATTAATAATTATAAATATACTATATATTCTACTGTTTTAAAGACAATGTCTATATTAAGAACTATATATATAGTTAAGAATAAAAGAATAAATATTTGAAAAACAAAATACTAAATATACAATATAATAAGTAAAAATAGAAAAAAATAGAAATAAATATGAAGAGGATAAAAAGATAAAAGATATAAGTTAAAAAATAAAAAATAATAAAAATAATGAAGTCCAGATATAATATTAAGTATAAGTACTGGATGGTTGAATATTAATAAGATAAAATGTATTAATATAGTGTATTTAATTATAAACTAGTTTATTTATAATAATATTTTATAGATCTATTTATAAAATTAAAAAATTATATTTTTTAATATATAAAATATTATATTATAAGAATATAGTAACAGCCACAAGAAATAATATATATATTAAAAATAATAGTAATTTTCTAATAGTCTAATTGTTCAGGGAAGTATTTATTAGTAATATTTAAAAAAAATATAATAATATAACTAAATATATTTTTATTAAGAAGTATAATCTTAAAATTAATAATTAAAATAATAGATTATATATACTAAAAATTAGAAAGATTAAGTCTATATATAGCAACTAATAAAAATAAGAGTATAAAAAATTAATATATCACTATAATAATTTAGGCTTAATACTAATACTAGAAATAATACAAATATTCTAATTTTTATAAAATTATAAATATATAAAGTCGCCAGATCTAAATTTAAAAATTTTATAATAAAAGTTGTATATCTTTTTTATATAAACTACAGTAAACTTTAATACTTTGTTAATATTAAATCTTTATAAAGACAACCAGGGCATCTTTTAATCTTAATATCTTAAACTATCTTGGATTTATAAATATTAATATTTTTAGATAAAAATAAAATAACAACTTAAATAGCTGAATACTTCAAAGATTTAGAGATTTATATTAGAAGATATCCGAATATAAAAATATTTACATAATTAAATGTTAAGATATCGAGTTAAATAATTTTCTAATATTTAAAAATCAAAATAGCGAGAATATTCTCGGCAGGAGTAATTTTAAAAATATAAAAATATTTACTATAATTAAAAATATCTTAAACTGAATACTATAGTTAAAGATCTATACTAAATATCAATTTATATAATATTTTTATAGAAATATTTAGATTTTAATTAATATTTAAAATAATAGATAAAATAACTATAGACTAATATTAATTCTCGGTAGATATATATATATGTGTATAGATATAATATATCATTATTTTAATAGTTTAAATTATTTATTCCAATTAATTATTAGTTGAAGCATAAAATAAAATAAAATATAATTATACAAAACTAAGAATATTAAAAAGATCTTTTCAAAAACAATAATACCAACTTAGTATTATAATCTAACAAGCGTTGTACACTAGCTTTGCTTGGGGTGCCGCGCAGGCCCGGGCTGTTATATATATTCTTAATCAGAAATATATATTATATATATATGTATTATAAAAGTTATTATAGTAGAGTAACCAGCTATATATTAATTAATTAGTTAATATAAATAAATATTAATTATAAATATTATATAAATATTAAAGTATTTATTATCTAATACTTTTTATATTCTATTACTATTATTATCATGTATTTTTTTTCGAAACAAAATTATTTATTTTATAAATATTTATTTTTTAGACTTAAAATTTTTGAATTAAGTTATTTTATTATCCTATATATAAAAACTGGTTATTATATATTAGATTAGTATTATATAATTATTTAATACTATTGAATTATATGAATAATAATTATCTAAATCTTATTATTGAATAAAATAATATATGTTTTTATTATAGTTTTAAGCTAATCTAGATTATGGTATTAAAAAATAAATAACTAATAATCCAAATACATAAATATATATAAATATAGCCCGCGGCTGCAGCTGTTTTTTTTAAGTTTATATCTTTTATAAATAATATTATTTTTTAGTAATATTAATATTGCTGCTACTGCTACTATATATATTATTAAAAATAATAAATCAAAATTAATATAATTATGTTAGAATAAATAACTAATATAGTTTATAATAGTTTTTAATATTTCTCTGGTTTTTTTATGATATAGATTTAGATTCTAACTATTAATTATAATCTAATTGAATATATAATTTTTAAACTAATAGCTAAGCTTATCATTAATTATAATATAATTTATAAGCCCATAGTCTGTTAGTATAAATAAGATTTTTGATTTATTTTTATTTATTTATTAAATTGAAAATTAGATTAGATTT